CTTGTATTTTCCTCGCAAAACCCCACTCTGTTCACTGCTGGCTTTTATGTAGGTTCAGCTTGTTCAAACTCTTTCTCTTGGAGACGAGACTTGAAAACCTTTGAGAACTGATTTCTCGCGTTTCAAAGTGTTTTGGGATTTCTGTTTGGCGTTGGTGCTTGCGTTTTCTTGGCTTCTTCTTTTTTTCTTTTGCTGCGTTTTGTTTTGTAGCTTCTTCTTCTTTGATTATTGGGTTTTGTTTGAGTTTGTTACTTCATTTTAGTTTACTTCATTTTCGAACCTTCCACAACGCGACGTCGTGTTAAAACCCTCGCAAAGCGATTTAGGCGTCTTTTTCTTTTGTTTGGAAAGCGTCTTCTTTGAGTTTCAGCTACCTGAAGGCCTTCCTTCAAGCTGCGTTAAGCCTCCTTCAAGTTCTCCTTGAAGTTCTCCCCCTCTTGGAAGCTCTCTCCGTTTCAAGTCTTCCTTAAGTCTCCCTTCAAGCTTCTCTCACTCCCTCTTAAGCCCTCTTCAAGTCTTCCCTTCAGCTCCCTTCAAGTCTCCCTTAAAGTCCCCTTAAAGTTCCCGTTACCAAATCCTGATCTCCGCACACGATGATGGTTCGAATCCCCGTACATGATATGGGCTTCCACGTGCCTCGCAGGTTTTTTTTTATTTTAGATCACATTGCAACATTTCAGTCCCTGCATTGCTTGTATGTTGCATTTTGTGCGGATAAAGGAGCCTCCAAAGTCAGATGAACCTTGTTTCGACTTTCATTTTGACAGATCTGACGGGCCAAGGCCGAAAACTCCTTCGAAAACGTGTGCATTGCGAAGGGCGTCCAGTTCAAAGTTGAGAAACGAACGGCAAGGACACTTTTGGAGTTTGAAAGTTCTGTATTGCATACAAAATAAACTGCGCGATGTCCCCTTTTTCCGTATTCTCAGTGTTATTTTGCAGAAAGACGATTCAATTTGTTGTTTTGATGATGGATTGGTCTTCTTGCGGTCAGTGGCAAGAACGCTGCGTCTCCTGTCACTTGTTGGTGCTGTCTGCAAGAGTTACATCGGTGTTTTTGGAGAGTTTTGATGAACACTGCAAAGTGAACGTTCAGACAAACCATTGTCTGCAAGCTGTTACTCGTTGTCCCGCAGGCTCGGCCAACGTTTTTGCAGTTCATGTTTCGCGAAATGCCAGAAGAGTGCTTTTGTACATGCCGGAAGGCAGGACACAGTGCTTTACCACTGTAGCAAACTAGCAATTTGCCTATTGTTGTTACAACATGCTACAGCTTCTTTGTACGAGTGTTTGACCCTCAGCCCAATCTAAGAATTCCACGTCACTTGCTGATCCTTTACTTTACTAGACTATGCAGCTTCCAGTTCTAATGCTGCGAAGCTGGTCGAACGAAGATAACCCACCCAGAATGCAGGCCGGAGTGTACATCGATCGCATGACCGTGACCATGTAGTTGTGCTATCGCGCCGATGTCGTTAGCATAGAATCCTATGTTTTGTCTGTTGTTGTGCAATAGTTCAAACTGCGTTAGAGGTGTTCCATGCTTAGTGAGTCCTACTGGCATACATGTCAGCTGTCAGTGTACAGTGGCACCTGCTTTGGCAAGCTCGGCAGGAAGCAATCGTTCAACATTCAGAGTAAGCTCAGTTTATTGCCAGGGAAGCTCACCATGAAACCAGGCAAAGCGTCATGTTTTGTAATTTTTGACAGCGTAAATTCCCGGCCGGTTCGTGCATGCGTGGGTCATACGCAGTGGCGATTTTTTGCACTTTTCAGATTTCTGACAATGCTTTGAAGCAGAACCACACTCAAGTGTTATATCCCGCTATGGTCAGGCAGTCGCTCCAGAAGTTTGCAGTCACAGATTTCCCCAAGCACGGTACCAAATAGCAAAAAAGCATACTGTCCGCCATGGCAGAAGACTCAGGCCGTTTTGGTGTTGCGTTGGACGATGCTTCCACCTTGATGTGATTGGATCTAGACATGGCCAACGCGACAATAGCGGCGGATGAGTTCAATCTCTTTACCAAGTGGTGGTATCGGCCTCAATGGAAAAGAGTCCATTGTGTCTTCGGACATGGTAAATACCCCGTTGCAGCACCACCACAATGGAACTCTTCAGGGAGAAAGAGAAAAGAACACGTGAAATACTACCGGTCAAATGTGTGAACAATCATTTGTGGCGAGCTGGGCCGACAGAGGTTTTACGTGCTTCTGTTCTTGGGCCTCTACGCTTTTGTGGCGGCTGCCTTACTCCTCGATGGAATAGGTACCACCGTCCTCCGAATCCTGTCGCCGTACTCCTGATCAGGTGGCAGTTCACTTGTTTATTGACTATCGGCAGTGGGAGTCCGACCGTGTCCCGACCTTACGGCTTCCCAGCTCGTGTGCACGCGGTGTGCTGTTGAGTTCACGAGGTGAAGCTCATGATGGAAGAGGCTCATGCACCATACAGCTTTGAGAGCAGCTGGAGACGACCTCCTCCAGGCAGGCCTGTCTGCGCCGCCCGGTGACAAAGACAGGTGCGGTGGGCACAGTGTCATGCAGCACACGTTATGCTCCGATGGCAGGGAGCCTTCGACCAAGGGAGCCGTGCTCCCCTCAGAAAGAGAGCTTGAATCTGACATCACACCTTGCGAAGTGAAAAGAAGCATTGTTCGCAGGTCAAAAAGGATCAATGAACGACATAGCATGGGCAGCACTGACTTGGGTGCCGTGCTGATCTTTTGCTCGTGATGAAAGCATCCGAGCAGCGAGCTTGCCTAAATGAAAGGTGCTCGAGGAAACGCATGTGATGGAGTCTCCAGTTGCAAGCGCGTGCAAGACGCGAACTAACTGTGAGCAGTCTCAGTGCATCATGCTGCGATTTGGAAAGGCTCGTAGGGCCTGGCTGTCTGGCTGAGCGATGCGGTCTTGCAGCGAAGCCTGGACAGGGATCGAAGGTGTGTACCATCACAACCTCTTCATGGGGGTTAGGACGAGCTAGAAAGTGAACGCCGACAAGATGGCTTTCTAGCGGCTTGCAGTGAGCTGCAGCTGCCATTTCCATGATGATGCCACGTACAGACATCGGCGAATCTGAACGTGCCAAGTTTGCGTTTCCTTCTACACTGCTCCAGCCCCAGCATGCAAGGCGGTTGACTGTTGACCTCATTCAGATTCCCGACCAAGCAAGTTCTGCGCAGTCTTAGGAAAAAGTCGCACTTTTTGCAAGCTTTTACTTCTTTCTGGTGTGTCCTGCACACACTACACGAGAAGCTAAAGCATGATGACACTTTTGCAGACATGAGACCCACGTCGCCGTGAGTTGCCTTTAGCTTCAGTTAGTTTGTCGGGATAGGGTGAAGCTGCAAAGAGTGTGCAATGGCCACCGAGAGAAAAGTTGCTCAGTTGCAGCGTGGGGCAGTTCAGGTTTGGAGAGTTTGTTTCCGCCCAACGACAGCCCAGGTCCAAATCAAGAATGCAGACATGAACGATGTTTTGCAGGTCGAAGTTGTGGAGCTCGCGAAAACAGCAATGGACAGGTTCAACACCGAAAAAGACATCGCCAACTTCATAAAGAAGGAGTTGGACAGAAGTCACACGCCGTTCTGGCATTGCATAGTGGGCCGAAACTTTGGGTCTTATGTTACCCACGAGACCAAGCACTTTGTCTACTTCTACATTGACGAGTTGGCAGTTCTGGCATTCAAAGCTGGATGAAAGAGTTTGCCCGGGGTTCAGAAGTCCGTCAAATCAGTACCACGAAGCTGGAAGGTAGTGTTTCACCGCAGGCAGTTTCACTGAATTGCCTAGCTAATTCTAAGCGTGGAGCTCGCTCGAGTGTAGTGCAGTTACACAGGTCAGTGTCCCAAAGCAAGGTCAGCAAGGTGCCATTCCCACCCCGAGCTCGTGCGCAGAGGAGGAGCAGAGAATTCACCAACGGACTTGCGGTCCCGAAAAAGTTGGATTCCGTGTCTCTTGTCCAAAGTGGTCTCCCCCCTCGCAGCTGCATTTCGAGGCTTGATAGATTCTTCACTGCAGCCACTGACTGCATTTGCGTAGTCGCAGCAACCTTGGGTCAGCAGGAGAGGCTAGCTCGATGATTCGTCAGCGCATACGTGGGCGCTGTGAGCCACGTCATGGACGTCATGGATGGTGCACGGCAGTTTGTGTGGGCCTTCTCATAGGCATTGCCGGGATGACCATTATACAGCACAGGGCATTTGTTGGATACCGATGGCCGCAGCCCAGGAGGCCTAGAGTTGCTGCGCAGGCGCGGCGGATAGTCAGATGTCCAGGCTGTGGCCAGGCTCAGCGAAAAGACTGTGATGGAAACGGCCGCTTGCGGGGCGGGCTTGCGCAGGTCTTTGATGATTCGCCTGTGAAGGCGTACAGGGTTTGTCCAAGGTACAGGGGCAGATATGAGAGGAAGGGTCAGAAGTTCGACACTCTCTTCGATCCCGATGTGGAAGGCAAGGAGCGCAATTCACTGCTCGAGGTCCCTGCGACATGGCGGTCACTGACAAAGATCCGGCTTCGCGAGCTTCCCGATGTGGGAGCAAAGCCAACGGGGGAAAGCCTTGGCCCGTATGAGAGCTTTACCGTGGAGGATGTGATTCGAAAAGATGGCCAGCATTTTTTGAAGCTGGCCGGAAAGACGGGCTGGGCCTTTGATCGTGGCATAGTCGGCGCATGGGATGGCAAACCCATCTGCGAGCGTCTGGGCTGACTGCAATACGTGCCTGTCAGCCTTGCCTACACTGCGGGTCAGGAACATAGTGCTATAGACTTGGCTCATCTTCGTTTCACAGCTTATTCTTTACCTCGCGTGGAGAGATCATAGATCTTGTTGAAATTTTCAGCGAGCGGCACCCCCGAACAAGAAAAACAAGAAGGTGTGAGGTTCAACATGTACTGATGTCATCTTCCGGCCAGTGGCCACGGCCGTTGCCTGATCATTCCGTGGTCCACTTGCGTTGACCTGATGCTCAGAGCTGTATAATAGACCTCGCAAGCAAGAACATCCACATGCTACCGGCGTTCACCCAGCATGCAGTGGCTCTCCGTACGCTTTTCATATGCTTGTTGTCGTATCACTTAAGCAAGCATGCATGTGATATGGCCCAGTTTGGGGTTAGATCGCTGTACCTTAGCTTCTCTGCCACCGACTGCTCGAGGCTTGGCTTTGGTGGGGTGGTTTCAGCATTTTGAGATATTTTGAGCTTGACTGATCAATTGCTGGCATGCACTGCATGTGTAAGTACTTTCGACATCTCTCTTCCGAACACCTTCCTGGACAAAGCATTGCTGTCAGCATGTTGGCCAAGGCTTCTGTACTTCGTCACAGAAAAAAGTTGGCCGAGGCAGATGCTGTCGGCTGTACGGCAGGGCACAATGCGTGAACCCAGCTGCGGAACGGTCGCAAAAAAGTGTGCTTGGTGGCAGGCTGTTGGCACGCCGTGACCGGCTGATACTACTTGCATGATGAGCAAGCGCAGAATGCCTTCAGACTTGAATCTGTCGCAGCGTCTCATGCAAGCGCGAAGCGCGTTCTTGCAAAGCTTGCTGAAGCACTGCGCAGTTAGCCAGCATAATCAGCACCGATGGCGGGCCTCTTTTCTTCGAATTTTGAGCGCATGGCAGAAGCTCTGGCTTCGTTAAACAGGGAAGCTGCGACCGCCGAAAAGAAGCTCCGGGCCGAAGTTGCACAGTTGGAGAAAGAAAAGGCAGACTTTGCTGCATACAGGAAGGAGGAGCAGGCGAAGTTGGATGCCGACCGGAAGAAATTTCACGAAGAGTGCAGGTTCATGTACAAGCAGTACGGAGTGGGCGAGTCCGATGACGCAGCCTCTCAAGCTGCTGCTGAGCAAGTCTCCACTTTCCCTGTGCCTGTCAAGATCAATGTGGGCGGCAAGACCTTTCAGACCACAATGATGACACTTCAAGGAAAGCATGCTGGAGAACAAGATTCGATGCTGGCCGCAATGTTCAGCGGCAGGCATCCAAACTGCTTGGATGAGGGAATCGTGTTCATTGACAGGGACGGCGACCAGTTTGCCCACCTTATGGAATATTTGAGGAGTCCGACTGGCAAGATGGGCTACTTCAACAACTTGCGCAACAAGCATCTCCATGGTTTGCGCGAAGCCAAAAGAGACTTGGAGTACGAGCAAATGCTTGAAGAAGCGCGATACTTTCAGCTCCAGGGTGTGCTTGCTCTGCTGTTGCCTCCCGCCGCATGTTTTGGCAGGGCTTCAACCTACGGAGTTTTGCAAGCGCCTGAGAGTCCGGCAGCTGGAGATGTCATCACTTGGAAATGGGAGCATCAGACCGGGCAGTCCAATGCCGAACTCTATGCTCTGGAGGAAGATGGTGCCATTCGATTTGTTCGAGCAGGCACTTATCTGATCATGGCCAAGGTGCCGGGAGTGAGTGCGAACAACAGCGGATGTGGTCAGCTTGTTCTTGATGGCACAGTAACTGATGAGTGTTGGAGCGGTGACCAGCATGGCTACAACAAGATGCTATATTTCAACCGAGTGATGGCAATAGCGCAAGGAGAGCATCTGCAGGTTCAGGGCAAATTCCTGTCCCATGGTTTCAATCTGGGAAGAGTGCAGGCAACCTCACTCTGCATTGTTCCTCTGCAGCTTGCATCGAGTGCGAATGTGCCATTTGTCTCGCTGCGTGCGCGCACTTTTGGTTCAAATTCCTGGTTCTGACGCCAACGGGTACAACAGGATGCTGTATTTCGTTGAAGTGCTGGCCACCCACGCAGGTGACACATTGCAGCTGACAGGAAGCAACTTGTCTCATGCCACATCCTTGGGCCGGAAAGCCACGGACCTGACCGTAGTACGGCTGGGTTCTTGCAGTGATGTCCATGCGAGGTGTGCGCAGTTTTCCTCGCTTGAATCACCATCCGGCAGCGGTTTCTGGTCATGGACCGTCAAGCAAACAGCTTGCCGGTTTGCCGGAGTTGAGGCCACATCCGGGGGAACTGCGATCAAATTTCAGGACGCTGGCACATACTTGGTCATGGTGCGAGTGCCAGGATGCAGTTCATCAAACAACGGGCATGCACAGCTCATGCTGGATGGCACACCTGTCCAGGAGTCTTTTGCAAACAATGCAAATGGATATCATGTCATGATCCATTTCAACGAAGTGATGAAGATTGCCGCAGGTGGAACCCTGCAGCTGCAGAACGTGAACTTGTCTCACAGCTTCAACTTGGGTCGTCCAAAGGCCACTACCTTCACAGTTGTGCTCCTAGAAGCCGAGCAGTAGTATGGTGATATTATGCCGGAGTACCATCGTCAGCAGCATCAGTCACTTCAGTCTCTGCTCTGTGCTCTCTTGAAAGCAAACTCGGTGCCTGCTTCCTTTAAATATACTTGGTGCATATAGCACGCACAACCGGCAAGATTTTGAGCTTGGAGTCGTCTGCAGATGTCAAAATGGCTCGCAGTTGCAGTTCAGTGCTACATTTCAGTGCTGGCCTCGTAGGAATGGCTGAGTCTCGGGCTGGCGGTCGTGGCATACATTTGTTGCCGCCACTTTGGGAAGCTACACGGTGCTCAAACCTCTAGCAGAACTCGCAGGCAAGCACATCCACATGCTACCGGCGTTCACCCAGCATGCAGTGGCTCTCCGTACGCTTTTCATATGCTTGTTGTCGTATCACTTAAGCAAGCACGCATGTGATATAGCCCAGTTTGGGGTTAGATCGCGGTACCTTAGCTTCTCTGCCACCGACTGCTCGAGGCTTGGGAGGGTGGTTTCAGCATTCTGCGCTTGACCTGATCGGTTGAATGTGTTGTTGCTCTTGATGTTTCTCTTTCAAAAACCAAAAGTGGTCGGACTGCGATGTGCTCGGAAGCAGAAAGCAGGCGTCCTGGCCGAGAATGGGGAACAAAATCTTGACGCAGTGCCCCATCTCCGTTGCTATTCTTCTCGTACTTCGACTTGGAGCCTTGTGTCAGTCTTTGAGCTCGTGCAGGTATGATGTCCAGAAGGAGCCTTGCTACTACAGTGCTCAGCCTAGTACTGTCGAGGCGATTGAAGCTCATGTGACATCTCACGTGTGTCCGCGTGCAAGTTGCCAAGGCCCTGAGCTTCGATGGAAGCTTCACACCGCCAACTTTAAGGCTTCCCTGGTTTCTTGGAAGACGAGGCAACAGCAGTAGATCGCCATGGCCAGGAAAAGCCCGACGAAAAACTGACCATCTTCCTGTTCGAGAGAAAGGTCATAGAGAAGCCAGGAACTCAGGACACGCTTTAAAATTCGGCGTCCGCATTTTGGTTTGCACCAGGTATGCCAAAAATGCGAAAGAGCAAATAGTGGAGCTTCTCAAGAAGGACTTCTACCTGGTGCTGCCTCTGCTGCTTCCTCCCTTTGTTGTGGCGATTCTTTTGCTGGCGAGCCGCCCTGTCTGTTGTGCCAGGATGCCACGAGTCTGCAGCGGCTACGGCACCCGCATATCCTCAGCGTCATCGAGGCCCCTTGACCTTCGCAGCGATCGTGGATTATTGGTGAAACTTGTCTGGCAAAGCCGAACGGCGCTGTTTTCGCAGCTTCCCTCACGTTTCATGATGATCTGATGTTGAGTGGGGACAGTGGGGGTCCAAATAATGGAGCAGATGAAAGCCTCGAACAACATGGCAGAACATTTTGATTGCAGGATTGGGTGCGGCGACGTTGGCCTAGCCAGCCACAAATCAGGTCTAGAAACGTCCTGAGAGGTAGTTACTTACTTCTTTGGTTCCACAGTTGCTCTTGAAACAGTTCATCACAAGCAAAACACAGCAAATTCCACAGAAAGAACCTATTTCTCTATCGCTGGACAGCACACTACGCTGCTTCTGCGACGCCTACATTTGAGGAAGTACAGACAAGGTCGCCATCTTTATAAACGCGGAAGCAGAGCAGCGTCGTCGCTGCTTTGGCCTGCTGAAGTCTTAGAGGTCTGGAGCTAGCAAGCTGCGAACACTTTAGGGTTTAGCCGCTTCTGCCCCCAACTTGCAAGAAGAAGCAACTGGTGCAGCGCCATCCGACATGCAAGCTTCGGCC